CAAGAACTTTTATATTATGTTGCTTGCTGCTACGGAACCCTTCATGGGCGAGTCCGACTCGCACTTGTTTTAATTTTTAAAATTGTTGTTTGTCTATCTGTCTGTCTGTATGTTCGGACTGTAATCTTCGAAATGGTTGATTCAATTTTAATAAAACTTTACTAAGAGGTAGCGGGCAATGCCAGGAGTGGTCTAGGCTATATTTAATCGGAAAACGGATAGAATTAATCGTCTTTGATTATCTAAAACCTAAATAATGCCACATTAATAGATCCTACCCAGGCGATGCCGGGGCGAGTAGCTAGTCATTTAGAGAATTCGTAGATAGCATGTACAACATATCGAACGATAAATATATTTTAGTTTTACAAAATAGTCAGGTTATCCAGTGACATTCCGTTGGATATACGAGTACTACAGGGGATTAGTGAAACGAGGCCTTTAATCTATTGGCCTTGGCACAATGTTCCAAGCCAGTGCCGACACCTGACACTAGGGAAACCCTACCCCAGCGACAGCGGACACTCTGTAATCAATCTCATCGAGCTGAGGAAAAGAGGTCAGAGAATTGACTTACTTTTCTAAGTACCGGTTTGTAAAATATATGTTTGATGAAAGAACGTATAATATCACCTACATAATTACCACGTACTTATTTTTCTACCGACTTCAAATAGTAGACTTATGTTTCTCAATTCGACTGTATGTTTTTTTTTCTTTGTTTTTATGTGTATAACTTTTTTCTAGGTGAAACGATTTCAATGTTTCTTTTTTATTTGAAAGCTGGTGCTTCTCACGTGGCCCCATACAAATTTGATGAAGGTCTTACCAATAGTTTTTGAGTTATTCTTAATAATTTATATTGAAGTCGGTTGTACAAAAGTTTTAATTTTTAATTATTTAAAATTATAATTGACAAAGGTGTTATTCTAAAAAAATACCTAATAGAATGTAGCTACTATAGCACGTAGTAACTTGCAATCAACTTTAATCCAAAAACACCAACACATTATGTTGTGTCACCACTATTATTATTCTGGCACTTTTATACTCAAAAGTAAGCAATAAGTAAGTAAACGCAGTGAGTAATGTAGTTTGACAGTAGAAATAGGTGGATATAAAACCCTGCTATATAACAGATGTAGAGTAAGTGCAAAGCACATTACAGATGTACTCCCTATTCTCTCATTTTTATAGTACACCAGTAGCCAAACGGCAGTCTGCAAACCGCGAACTGAAGGGGTCGAAATTTCTAAACCTATTTTAATGAATTTTAAGGAACACATAGAAAGCAATGCCAGGAGTGAACTAGGGTATATTTTATCCACAAAACTTCGAAACATTTTTTTTGTAATAAAAAAATGTAAAAATTATAAAAATCTTAAATCTAAATAATTCCTCATTAATAGATCCAGGCGAAGTCGAGGTGGATCGCTGTTTCAGATTAAATTGCGCGTTTTGTGAAGCGAAGTGTGGTGGCGAGTTTAGAGAATGCATCACTCCATATCAGCCATAAGAGCCGACTGTGGGTTATGCCAGAAATCATTTTTGATGGCCTTTAAATTTAATAGATAAAACAGCTGACGGGCGGAAGCGTAAAAGTTACGCCTGGAAACCGTAACAATTAATGCAATCCCGTCCTATAAACGGGCAGGCCCAGCTCCAGCAGTATCCTTTTACGGCTTGATGTTGATAACTTAGACTTTAGATCATTGTAATTTTGCATGTATAGGTACGTATTCAAACTGCAAGTGACCTAATTTAAGAGCAATTCAGATTACGCCGTTATCCGTCAGCATGGTCAGTTAACGCGACCATCCGATCTATGTAGCGGCACTATCGTAAAATCACTCTCGTTAAACAAAATGTTCGCACACGAACACAGTTATGCGATACTTAGGTGTCAATTTTAAATAGTTCTGTTTAAAATTACTAGGTTATGGTTATTTTATGTTAGTAGTGCGAAATGTGATTTTAAAGTATCTAATATTAAAAATGCATCTACATAGCTTTTCCCGTTATCTAAATGAGTTTCAGAATGTTTTTGTTCGCGTTCACAACTAGGGTTGCCACGGTTGGTTTTTTCTATAAAATAAAGTTTTTTGAGCAATCGTACTTTATGTTTTATGGGAACAATAAAGTACGTGGTTTTTTTTTCTACAGAATGAGGGTGACAAACAAGCACATAGTCCACCTGATTGTAAGTAGATGCTATGGTCAAAAGATATCCCTACATCCATATTCGATTAATAATCAAAATGTAGATGCGTTGTCAAAAGGTCAAGCATACAGAACACAAGCGTATAATAGCAGCATTAAGCTGCTATTGTACGCCTGGTTTCTGTGAGATTGCGGTCCTTCCCCGGTCGAGTCAACCCATTCGTGCTACAATCATAATATAGCTGCAGCTTGACTCTACCACGTTTAATTAACTGCTTAAATACTTAACTAAAATACTTTAATTTTCCTATTATATATAAAAATTTTGACAATTTTTAATGCTTTTTTAAGAGTTATATGCACAACCTGCTATAAGAAAAAAAAATATGAAGAGTGTCTCTAAAATGAATTATCATTTATGAATAATGTAAAGACTGTTAGGGTGTTCCACCAATTCACCAATAACAATTATGTGTTAGAATATGCTAAAAGTAGCAAATACTGTATATACTGTATATATGCCTAAGGCCTGACAATCCGACGAGAAGACGGGACCCCTTACGGGAGGGGAGAGAGTATTTTGTTTGTGACCTTTGTTACTCTTACGTACCTAATTTATTTTAAGTAATGCCATTTCTCTACCACCAGGAAAAATTTTGTGGCAACCGGCATACAAAACGGTAGACATACAATATTTAGACCGGTGCGGTGTGGCTGTTAGTCACTACGATCGCCAATCTACTCGTACTTGCCAAATGTGGTGAACATGATAACTTTCTAAATTAAGACAGTTGTCACCTGATGTAAATAAAACATTTGAGTTATTTAAAAATTATATCTCTTTTTCTTATATTTGGAAACTCACGTGCGATTTATATACCAATGTTATGTCTACATATTGTAAATATTTACTCAGACAAAGACAATGGAAATTCTTTTAAGTGAAGAATGGGTTTAACACGTCCATTTTGTTTGTTAATACCGTTGTATACTCGTTTACCACGCCCACTGTTTTTGCACGCACTCAAATGCCGCAGCGTGTGCCATTTGCTTGAATAATGGTTAGTTATGAATGATGCACTCAGGTCATGCAATTGAATATGCTCTGGATCGCTATGAATGTCGGCTCTATACAAAAATTTGATCTTAATTTACTTTGATTCTGCTACTGCTGTATTTGAAATCGCTGACCGAGTTTCATTTGGATGAATCTAATTTTGTCCATCAGACCGATTTTGTAAAAACAGTTGCTACCAAATGTTGCTACCAGTAGTGCCAGATGGATAGCTAGCACCTTAACTAACACTGCCCGTCGCTGAGCGGCCTTGGTATTTTAGGGCATAGTTAAACTGCTGACTGTTTTAAGCACTGCCCGTCGTGTCGGGGTTTTGGGTATTTTAGGGAATAATTAAACTGCTGACTGTTTTCAGCACTGTCCCGTCGCATCGGGGTCTGGATATTTTAGGGCATAGTTTAACTACTGACTGTTTTAAGCACTGCCTGTCGCGCTGCGGCCTTGGTATTATAGAACATAGTTAAGTTGCTGACTGTTTTAAGCTCTGATATTTCTGACATTTCTCATAGTCTCCTCTTACGACACCCGTGAATAGAAATGGCGTGAACTATTTTCTGACTGTTTTGTTTCAAAATTGTAATCTCATATTTGTTAAACTATAGGGAAAAGCTTAAGTTTATGTTCACTCAATGGCTTAATGCAATCTGGTTCAGCAGTCAGCTCGATAAAGTTAACGGGTGCTGGGTAACATTTTTCATTGTTCGCAAAGAGGTCAATAAGCTACGCCTCAGCAAAAGCGTGGGATGAGTCTGACACAGTCGATTTAATAGTGTGCACGAGTTTTTGCAAGCACACACAAAGGAGGCTAACGAGAATTCCGTTGCAATTTGTTTTTATTCATAGTACTGTTATGTAAGATAATTATTTATGCAGCTTATAGTATGGCGACTTAGATTAGTTGCAACTGGCAGTAAATGAGGAAACGGGTTTGTTTGTATGAATAGACAAACATCTAACAACATGAAGTAAAATAGCGATGTTTAAGTTAGACCCAACGCTAAAATGAATACTGGAATTCGACGTAAGGATTTCTTATATTTACGCGAACACTACACATTTAAATAAAACTAATTTTATGGATTTTATCGCGTATATTTACTTATTTTTATATTCCCGACGTTTCGGGTGCTTTCCAGCACCCGTGGTCACGGGGGACTGAGGTGTTTGACGTCCTGCTGTCATAGTTAGCCCGGCTACCTTCTGTTTTTTAAATTAGTGCTGGAAAGCACCCGAAACGTCGGGAATATAAAAATAAGTTAATATACGCGATAAAATCCGTAAAATTAGTTTTATTTAAATTCGACGTAAGGTTAAGTTAGCCTAAAATAACCCTGTTTAAAATCAATTTTACAAATTTAACAGTTTTATCAGATTTTAAAAGTTTTAAAAAACAATACAATATACTTTATAACGTACGGATTTGATTATGCCATTAGTTTAGTAAATAAATAAATTTATTTTTTACAAATCAAAATGTAAACGGCATTTATATATCTGCGATGACGACGACGACGGGACGGGGTTGCACTTAACTAACTGACAGTATAAGAGAGCCTTAGACATAACTCAAGTTTGCGTTGCATTGATGTAGCACTTTCCAAAGCATTAAAATTTCCCATGATTAGTCTGCCGAAATTGCAGATCTAACAACAATTTAAGTGAAATTACTACACGCGTGAATCGACATCTTTCGAGTTGAATTTATTCTTAATGACACTTTACTGTTGGACGACACAGTTTTTATATCGTTTCTATTTTGTTTCAGGTTCCAGAAAGAATTGAGACATGTACTCAACTTTCGAAATGTGATAAAATGGAGCAAATTGGCGAACCAGTGAAGCCACCGGATAAACATTTAAAGATGAACACCGATATACGAAATACGGAAGTGAATGCGCTGAATATGGAAGTCGAAACATTAAGATGGCAATTGGCACAGGTAATTAAAACACGTTTTAAATCCGCTTGCGAAAGTGTTGGTGCACCAATATATTTATTTATTTACTGATAATTTATGTTTATGTTTGTGTATTTTTAAACAATGCGTTGATGCTATGCGAAATTGCTATGCGAATTTTATTTATACTTCTGGTCTACATTGTTTATAGCTATTGTCCATTAGTTCTTAATTTGCCAATGTGAGCGTGATTATTTTCAGACTGAAGCAAACAGACAGATGCACATAGCATTACTAAAGCAAATAGTGACTTTCTTGAACAGAGTAAAGGATCATTTTGAGTGCCAGAAAAACGAAGATTCGCCGCGAAAGCATGTTCCCTCCCGGGTCCTCGCCAGGTCCATCAACTTCAACGACTTGCCTCGATCCCGTTCCGTTTTGCATGTCAACAAAAATCTAGATTTTACAATAAGTCCCGCCAGGAAAATAAGTACAAGAAAGATCAGTAAATCAATTAGCAATGTCAATGGATACAAAGACTGTAATGGACTGTGGTAATTACCTTCCAATTTTAAATCTTTGTTGTGAATATTAAAATTCCTTTTAAAAAATAATTAGCATTTCCATAATTGTTACCGTAACAGCTTAAAATTCAGTTATTTTTTTCTTTTTAGTTAATATAAAGGTATCTAACAGTCTAAATAACACGGAGAAAATAGCATCATTTGTTATTGCTTACTTAAATTAGCGATTAAATTATTGTATTAAGTTATTTGCCGTCCTCTTTAAATCCATTGCTGGATATAAATACTTAAGCTGCAGTAAATAGAGGCGTGAAATCTTGAAAGATTTGTCATTACTCACCAAGCTGTACCGGTGGATTATCTGTGCATAACCACACCTTTGAACCAATAATGCTGGTCCCTATCACCAATATGTGGGTTCTGGTCTTGGTGTATGTTAGAATGGATAAACTTCCAAAATATCGGTTGTCGCGATTCAAGACCTCAAGACCGACAACGAAACTGCAAATCTTCTAATTTTACTGGTTGTTCATGGGCTTTGAGATGAAATACTCACTTGCCTTCAAGTAAGCCGCACGCTTATTTGCCACCTCTTCTAAAAAGAATAAAAAAAAATTATCGTTTGTTAGTCATCAACCTCTCGTACTTTAGTAAGTAAGGCGCACCTCGTGTAGATGAGGTTGGCAAAGATAAAAGTTCACAATTCTTATTATGTAAAAGAAACACCTATTTACATTAACTTGGAAAGTGAAACATGAAATACAAAATTTTATACTTAGAGTTGTTTTCGAGAAAACAATTCGTATACTCGTACGTATTCAGGACTAACGGCTTTACATGCTTTTCGAGGTATGGGGTAAAATGTCGCCAACTTTCTGACTCCGAGGTCTGAGAATATCTTGACAGAAAAAATCAATAACTGATTTTTATTAACATGACCTGCAATTCGAGACTGGAATCTTACGATCAGCAGTCGCGTTTACAATTACTAGACTAACCAAGCAGTCGTATTATGTTTCATTTCATATTATACTTTAAACTATAATAGAGAAGTTGCATTAATTTTTTTTGTCACCACAAATTTATATATAAATAAAAGAATAATTCATTGATTTACCAAAGTATATTTAAATATTTTTTTATTCACAATCCCTTTCTTTATTAATAAAAAATATAAATAAATTTTATTAATAAAAAATAGTAAATTTTTTAACGAATAAAACCTAATTGTGATTGGTTGTGACGTCATTATATCCGTTGAAAGTAAGCCAATTGCAATCATGCTATGCTTTGGTACATCATAACAAAACATATATAACATAATATATAACCTGTATTATACAATGATATTTTTTTATATTGACGAGTGTTTTATCATTTTACCATGCAGTGGCGTTACTAAAGCGATATAATGACGTCACTGGCGTTTGAATTTACATTTTAGAAAAAACATTTTTAATTGTAAAATTAGATGAAAGTTTTTTTGATTTTTTTTAATAATTTTTAGTAAGCTTTCAAAACCAATAAAAAAAACAAGCAAATTCTCTATTTTTTAGTAGTCTTATGTATAGGATAGGTATGTCTTATTTTTACTACGGAAGTTTTAAATGGCTACAAGCTTAAATCAATTTCAGGAGCCAGTCAAAATTGTCTCTTGTTCCCGAACACGAAACGTCACAGAAAATAAGCGAAGAAATGTCGAGACTGATTACTCTTGCCAACACAGTACTTAGTACCAATTTGCCTGATCTCGCTTGTGCGTGTGTGAACAACTTTAATGATATCGATACAAAACTGACTGAAGATGAAATAGAAAGGCCAACGTCGCTAAATGTTACAATTAATTTTATAAAAGATGAGCCGCGCAGTACAACAGTTAACAGTCCGAAAGGTGACAATGGCGTGACCAACAAAGTCATAGAAGTCAGTAGCATAAATACCAACACAAGTGACTGTTGTGTGTCAATTTTGTCCCATCAAACCGAATTGGAGGACAAGTTTTCTACTTTGAAGACTCTGGAAAACGAAAGCAATAATTCAAACGGCGACACCGAACCACCGAATGAAAATGTGGTTGAAGCTATAGATAAAATACAAGTTTTTGATAAAATTAACAATTATAATGCTCTATCGAATTTTATTGAAGATGAGAGTGGATTTTCTTCAATGAGCTCTTTTCAAGAAATTGGAATACCAGTTATAAGCATAATACCACCGTCGCCATGTAAAGAAGTTGGTTACTTGGAAGAAATTTCTGACATATTAGAGGAAAGAGAAAAATGGAAATCGGACGGCATCGAACTGGATAAGCAGAGTGTTAAAGTTTTTTGGGTCTGATTTAGGTCTCCATGTACAAACTTTTCCACTGACGATCCGAGCCGGCGATTTAAATTTACAAATTTAAATTTTGATAAATTTGTACTTATTCATATTGCCTTAGTTTTGAGGTACTAATATACAAAATGTCGATTAAAATATTTATAAAATTTGTCTTAAAAGTCTGTAATAAACTGTGAAATTAATTTGTGTTTATATTACAATACTAATCTTACAAGAAAATTTATAGCTTAATTAAAACAAAAGTACTCAACAGTATGATGATGAGTTCCGATTATATGTACGTGAGAGGCACACTGTAGCTATATTATGGTTCCCGCGTAAAATGGCAGCTCAATGCTGCTGTGTTTCGTGTGGTGAGCGTATGTGCTTTTTGTGTGAGAGTGCGTCCTCTTTACTGGAAACGGGGCATTCCATCTTAGTCCTCAGGCGTGACAACGTATCTGCAAGTTTATTCTTAATCGAGGTTAACTGTAGATGTCTGTGGGCCACAGCATCCACTTACCATCAGGTGGACTGTGTGGTCGTTTTTCACCCATATACTATAAAAAAGTAATCATAACTTATTGCTTTTTGTGAAAGCAATAAGTTACGATTACTTTAAGAAATAGTAAGGTTATAGTCTAAACCAATTATAATATTAATATATTGTGAGTAATTATAAAAACAAGTATTAATCTAAATAAATATCTTTTTGCGTTTTATGCTTCACTGTTTTCTACTAGTTAGTTTCGAGTATTTTACTTGAAAATAACCGCATCAATAACTTCTTCGACACATATAGTAGTTTCCAGATTTTTTCCTTTGTACACTCCAAATGGTTTATAAGTATACCTTGATGCCAAATTTCAAGTTTCTACGTGAGCCTAATAACTCAAGAACTTTAATAGGCTTATTCATCACAATGTAGGGTTCTTGAAATATAATCCTTGAAATGTATGCAAAATTACAAGTGTGTATATTAATTAGTTCAGTTATGAGAATTTCGAAAGTAGCTCGAAATTGTTAGTATAAAATATACACAGCCGGTGCGTCGCCTTTTTCTTTTCCAAACTTGGCTGATACATTGCCGTGCGTCTAGATTTATATAAGTAAGCGATAATCAAAGATTATAAGTAAGGCGTGTAATTATGTAGTTCGAGTAAATAAGGTAAGTATTAAAGATGCAGACTTAAGGGTATATTGTAGTTACTACGCAAGGAATTTTTATACTTATAACGTAAACATGTACTGACGTATTTATTAGTCAACGAGCTCTTTCCGTATGGCAAGTGACGTGAAAATTGAGACCACTTTTAATGGTAAAGAGACATTTCATCTTAGTTCTCAGGAGTGACAACGTATCTGCATTTTGATTTATTATCGAGGTTTGACAGATGTAGGTTAAGGCTATGTTATGTTGCTCGGAGTAATTACTAGCATATGTATGTAATTTTACTCTAAATTATGTTTGTAGTATATAAATTCCTTGTCACTACGATCTTTTGTAGACGCTCCTCTGCAGTGAAGCTCTGAAGCTCTCTCTTATTATATAAACCTCTTTTCTACTGACAACCATCGACCATCTAGTCTTTCTGAAATGACATATTAAACGAAAAATAAACAAGTTAAAAAATGGCGTAAAAAATTTATGTTTCATAAATTTTTTCTATAATTTATAGTCAAAAATTTCTAAAAATTGTTAGATAACAAAATTTTACGTAACAATGGCTGATGAATCTGATGATAGAGCTAGTGGTGATGTTAAATCAGATGTAAAACCAGAAGCTACACCAGAAGCTCCTCCACCAGAACCTGTTAAGGTACCTGACGTAGAACTAACTGTCGATGGTTTCGGTTTCATGCCGATGAAAGCTGGGACACCTAAAAGGCATTTCAAGACTAGAAAACCTTCAAAAGATATCAAAGAGATCTTATCGCCTCAAGATCAACCGAGCAGTCCATGTTCCTCAAGTAGTAATATCGATATAGTGAGAAGATTTACATGGAAGACCAAAAATCGGATGACAGTTCAGGTATTTAAAATTAAAAATTTTAATGAGCTTTCGTTATACGTTGCTGACAGATAGTGTTCTTTAGCTTCTTATGTACAAATTCATGGATGTGGTCACGTTATATTTCTCAAATATATAGTTCGATACTGGTAATTGATAGATGTGATAAGAATGATGACTATTTCAAGTTCAAATATATTGAAGTAACATATACTACGTACTAGAAGAGACGCCGAGACTTGACTGATAGGTGTTTACAACACGCGTTAAAGCCCCCGGGCTCAAACTTACTTACTCTGCAACAAAAAGTTACTGTACTTCTGTGCTTCTGTACTTCTGTGCCACCTTCTACGCGCTTCGCACGTTCTAGTACGTAGTATATTTATTACTGAAAGGTACAAATAATGCTTCTTTATGGTCTATCATATTTCATCACTCCTCTTTGCAAACACAAACATTCATATTTTATCGCATAACCGTCAGGGTTAACAGGATATTATCCATCACAGCTTAAGAGATGTCTATGGACGCAGTGATTAACTATTAAAAAAAATACATTTTCGTAAGAATTATTACCGAGGAGTTTATATTGAGAAAACCTTTTATAAGATATACGATAAAAAGACTTTGTTCTTTAATCCGTCCAAATCCTAAATGGGGAAGAAGGAATTAATTCTAGACCTGAAATTTTACAAAGTCATTAGGTTATATATCAGCATTGGCCAGTCTGAATATTTTAGATCTAGCATAATCGAGTGGAAAACAAGCTAACACTACAACTGATGGTAACTTCAGTAGCTGTTAGTCTCCCTATGCGCCTCCTAGAGGTCTAGAAATAGAGGGAATGCCTTACAGCTTGTAATTACACTGGCTTTCCTACCTTTTAAGCTTGAACACAAGAGTGGTGCTTAGTGACAGAAACAGGTAAAAGGGTTTGGTATCACCCTTTTACCTAGGTGAATTTCGAGACAAAAAATGAGCCCTGTAATCTAGACAACAGTTTGAATATTTGAGAATATGAAAATAAATACTCATAAGTATCCTCTTGCGAGTTTTTCTACAATCATTGTGTCTATCCTGTAAACCATCCTAGAAATCCATTTATGAGGAGTGCTCCGAGGAATTGTTCAGATTAATTCCAGTCGCCAAATTTCACCATAGCACATCGCGACAAAACTCACGTTACTATCCACATCATCTGGACGGAATCTGAACTCGGCGGTCCACTACCGTGCGATCTACAAGGAGTTTTCTTCCTCGCACAACTATTGTGGAATCGGACACGACTTAGACCGCCTTAAAGAAACGAGCTTACTTCTTTTTAAAAGGTTCCTATATAGTTTAATTAATAAAATATAATTAACTTGGTAATGGCAACTAGTGAATAATGTAGCCAAAATATCATCATAATTAGTATTCAACCATAGATTAATGATAAGTCATCGCGCGGTCAGAGTTCGCGATAACTTATCATTAATCTATGGTATTCAACCTTATTTAAAAAGGTTTATAGTGACTGGATACGCTACTGTATTATGTGTAGTTTGTACTCAGATAGATTTACAAGATTTAATTTAATATTTAGGTGATAACTTACGGAGCTACTATAACATCCATCCAAGTTCCTGACAAGAAAGGAGTCCCAGATGACGTTATCGCCGGTTTCGATACATTAGAAGGTAAGGTATTTTAATAAAGATAAATATAAATAACATTTAAGGAAAATATTTGAGCAACTTTTTTTATACAAGTTATGAGAAAAACGGTTCCGTGACGCAGTGGCTTAGCACAAATAATTGTTCCTGGTTTGGATATTTGCTCTTTTGAAATTTATGTATGTAAACTAAAAATCTTAGTGTGGTGGTAACGTTTAAAAAAAATGTGCACCCTTTCCACCTCATTGCAACTGGTATCTCCATGATTAGATATCAATACTATTAGAGAGATTAGGTATCCAAAAATAACAATACACATTGAGGCAAATTATTTGATTATTTAAACGCCTGGCAGCCCAAAATTATAGATCGTGCTTTAGCGCGTGGTCTTCCTCGTTTAAGCCAACTGAGACTTTTATATTGGCTTTCCGGAAAAAATATTTTTAGTCATTATTATTTTTATGTCAAAGAGAAATATATAGAAATATGCAGACCGCAGGGAGCCGGAGTTTCTTGTGAATTCTTCCCAGGACAAATTTAGTTAGAAACAATGGTAACTAAAATTTAAAAATACTTTCAATTTCATTGGATACAAGGTACTGCATTACTATAATTGGTACTACTGCCGCTCGAGAATTTTTCTTCCCGATCGGTTATTGATCCTTCAAGCTACATGGCTGGCTACTACCACCAGTTTACCAAATCCATTGGGCTGTGTCTGCAATTCGGGTTCTACTGCGGTTATTCTCATTACGGATTCCATCACGCAGAGAAATATCGAGTACAGCCCTCTTACACAGGAATGCAAGCACTGCTAAAGCGGCCCAGACGAACTCCGAAACAAAAAAGGGTTCGTACCACCTATAAGTCCATGCTTGCTGAGGGACTTACATTAACATGAAAAATGTCATCTTAAACTACAACAAGCCTGTGTATTATGTGTACAGAATATTTTCAACCAAGAAACCCTTATTTCGGCGCTACAATCGGCCGATACGCGAACGTCATACGCGACGCTACAGTGACGATCAAACCTTCGGGCAGAATTTACATGCTCTCGTCAAATCAGGGTCGCAATCATTATAACGGCGGCTTCATTGGTTTTGATAAGGTGACAATATTTTTCACTACCTATAAGTTTCAACTCCTAAATATTAATTTTGTGATTTGTGTGATCAAACATCCGGTAATTGTTTCACTAATATTTATTTTTATTCAGATAAACATTAGTGAAAGTAAATATTAGGGAAACAAGTACATGTGTCAATCCAAATCACAAGATGACGAAGAAGTTTCACTCATAACAACAATTGTATAAATTGTATCTGAATATTAGGTCAAAAAGTGCCGAAATGCATTGAAAATTTGTTTCAAAAGGTCGCTAAGTCGTATCGGTCCGGAAAAAACGCCGGTGGAAAACAATTCCACAGAGAAGTTGTACGAGGAAGAAAACTCCTAGTAAAACGTATAGTCGTGGACCGCCAAGCATCCTTGCGGTGTTGCATGCATGTTGAGGATGCTATCGTGAATTTTGACGCGTTGTGCGTTCGTGAAATTGCTGTTCGTGAAAGCTCAAAAACCATCGCACATCGCGACAAAACTCGCGATACCATCCGTACCATCTGGATGATTGGCGGTCCACCACTGTGCGATTTAGAAGAAGTTTTCTTCCTGGCACAACTCCCTTGTGGAATCGATTACCACCAGCGATTTTTCGGACCGATACGACTTAGGGACCATCAAGAAAAGAGCCTACTCCTTTTTAAAAGGCCGGCAATGCATCTGCAATTCCTCTGGTGTTGCAGTTGTTTATGGGCGGCGGTAGTCACTTACCATCAGGTGAGCCGCGTGCTCGTTTGCCCCTCTTCTATAAAAAAGAAACATAACAGCTTTTTTGTGTTTTGGTTGGCTTTGAGAATAAACTATTTTAGCTTACTTTAGTAGTGATATAGATAATAGATCATTACGCGCGCCTGAAACGTGGTAGAGCCATGCTGCAGCATATCAATAGTATAGTTGTAGCACGAATGGGTCGGCTCGACCGGGGAAGGACCACGCTCTCACAGAATACCAGCGTAAAATAGCAACTTAAAGCTGGTGTGTTTCGTATGGAGAGTGTAGAGAACTGGAGACCCTTTTTAGCTATTGGAAAAGAGACATTCCATACTTAGTCCTCACGGTGACAACGGATCTGCATTTTGATTTGCAAACGTGGATAGATGTAGATGTCTATGGGCCACGGCAATCACTTACCATCAGGTGGACTGTGTGCTCGTTTGTCAGCCTTATCCAATAAAAAAAACTTTATAAAATACGAGTACAATTATTTATTTAAGACTACGGCTGACAACCCTAATACTAACAAAACACTTTTAGTGTTTACTGTCATGGGTAACAGAATATCCACTAGCCCATATCATCCCGTGGGTGTCGTAAGAAGTGACAGAGGGGAACAAATCACGAGATGTGCAGCAGCATCTTGCTTATAACGACTAAAAATAAAAAACAGCGGTTGCCAACCACTTACAACTATGGCAAATATCCCCTCTATGAGGATTGCCCTCATAGAGTTGATATTTGCCCCCATAATCTATGGGGGATGCCTACACGTCCAGCATTGGACTTCAGTATGCAGTAACGTAAGTTGTTTACGTGGTAGAGCCATGCTGCAGCTATATTAATAGTATAGTTGTAGCACGAATGGGTCGTCTCGATCGGGGAAAGACCACGCTCTCACAGAATACCAGTGTAAAATAGCAGTAACTGCTGTGTTTCGTATGGTGAGTGTAGAGAACCGGAGACCTATTTTACTTTAAAAAGAGACATTCTATTTTAGTCCTCACGGCTGACAACGCATCTGCATTTTAATTCGCAAACGAAGATAATGATTTCTTATATTTACGCGAACACTACACATTGAATAAAACTATTTTTACGGATTTTATCGCGTTTAATTCACTATTTTAATTGCCGACGTTTCACGAGGGGGACTGAGATGTTTGGCGTCCCGATGTCACAGTTAGCCCGGCTACCTTAATACATTAATATTAAAGAAACTGTAGCACCGAAACGTCGCGAATTAGATTATTCAAAACGAAGATAAATGTAGATGTTTATGGGCCACAGCAACCACTTACCATCAGGTGGATTGTGTGCTCGTTTGTCACCCTTATTCTATAAAAAAAGTGCTATAATACAGTTCCACCTTATAGAAAGTAGGATAGAAGAATGTAAAGCGTAAGGATTTGTTACGTTATCTTAGCCTAACAAAAATCGTAATTTAATTAAACTATTAAAAAAACGGTAATAGATACATTAACAACAGCAATCTGTCGGGCATATGGTTTACGTAGAAGCTGCATCAATGCTGTACAAACTCCACGCAACAGGCGTCTTCTTAGTAGGCACGCTGCGCACATTTCGATATTAATTAAAATGATTCAGAGCGTTATGCGGAGAAATTAAACTATATATAATACATATTAAAATTCTTAGATGATACGAGAAATTAATAACACATAAGCATACAGAAATACCAAAAGAAAGTAGTGGAGACAGCAAAATGGTGCGCCAATTTAAAATAATTTCAGGCAAATTGTCAATTTTATTTTTATTACTACTGTACCCCGCGTCTTCGCCTGCGTGGAATTATGATTGGATTGTATGAACACACGGAATCCTATTTCCTTTTCTAAAATAAAAGTGGTCTAAGTTACTTCTTATAACATTAGCTATCTGCCAGTGGAAGTCCCGTCAAAATCGGTCCAGCCGTTTTGGGGATTAGCCGGAACAAACAGACAGACAAAAATTTTAAAAATTGTGATTTTGTTATAAGTACCGTATACACTTTCATAATATGCATATAGTTGAAAGCTGTTATTTTGACATTACAAACAGACACTTCAATTTTATTTATTTGTGTTGATTTAAGTTTATGTAGAATTAAATATACTAATAAATTTACCAATTCAATGTGTACCTAAGAAATTATTAAAAAATTATTTACAAGTGCGTGTTTTTTTTAATTTGACAACATTTTAATTTAATATAATATATAAATTCACTTAAATTTTTTTTTACGGGAACATGTTGGCTAAGGTTTAGGTGACAGGCGCTTGCCTTTAAATTCCATAGTTGGCGAGGAGGACGAGTTACCAACGCCGGCACCAAACGGTTAATATCAACAGTAGGTGCTGATTCAGATTAACCGCCTCGTTGGTTTAGTGGTTGTAAGCGCGACTGCTATCATGAGTCCCGGGTTTGAATTCCGGGTCGGGCCAAAATAAGTTATTGAGATTTTCTGTCAAGTACATCAGAATAAGGGCGACAAGCGGGTACACCAAATGTTGTTAAGTTCATGCTGTGACCCGTAGACATCTACATTTATAGTTAATTGAGAATCAAAATACAAATACGTTGTCACTCCTGAGGACTACGAAGGAATGCCTCGTAAGCAGTAAATACATATAAAGGGACCCTTTTTACTGCTTCTCTACATTCACTATACGAAACACATCATTATTTTGCTGCTTCAAACTGATATTATGAAAGAGGTGGTCCTACCCCGGTAGAGCAGACACATTCGTGCCGCAGCTGTAATACAGCGGCTGCGTAGCTCTACCGCATCATAAATCATACGTAATTCTAGAACGAACGAGGAAAGAGTGACAAAGCAAATATCTTTGCAGATGTGAATATCGAGCAAATTGGCGTACATTGAAAAAAGGTGTGTTAGGATCTTGCCAAATAGAAGAGCGTAGTTCAAATATTTGAACATTTTCATCTATCACGGGGAGTGCTCTGAGGAATTTCAATTTAAAATTTCGTGAAACTGGTAGTCCATTTCCAAAATTTCTCGGGAAGCCCATAGGAAGGAAGCTTCGAAAGAAGCGCTTTGTGCCAGACCCGATCGAAGGCCTTCGCTATGTCCAAAATAACGGCCAATGCCTCCCCCTTGGACTCTACTGCCTCATAATTCAGGTAGACTAGATGATCACCAGCTGATCGACCCCGACGAAAACCATACTGGCGTTCACTAATCATCTGGTGATCCTCAAGGAACCTCATGAGCTGACAGTTTATAATGGATTCTATTATTGTGGAGAACAAGGAGGTGATGGCGATAGGCCTGAAGTTGGACGGGTCTGAGCGGTCGCACGTTTTAGGGATCGGGTGGACCAAAGCTGTTTTCCATGAATTTGGAACTACGCCTTGGGAGTAGGAGTACCGGAAAAGACGCGTTAAAACCGATGCCAACTCCGGAGTGCACGTCTTCAGCACAATGGGAGGGACTCCATCAGGCTCACTCGACTTGCTGACGTCCAGGGAGAAGAGTGCTTTGCGAACCAAGCGATGTGTAAACTGCACATCCGGCATGGAGCACTCACACGGCGGGATGGTCGGCGGTGTGTTCCCCGTCATTTAGAGTCGAGTTGGACGCAAAGAGAGAGCTCAACAGATCGGCTTTCTCCTTTGCGGCTTGCTTTGTTATGTACCAAAAATCTCAATAATTTGTACTGTTTTCGGTGTGTATAAAAATATATATATACTTTGTTATTTCTAAAAAAGTTGACAACTGTATTCTGTAGTGTGAACGCATTCTTTATTGCACATGTACACACGTTCCAACCCGGAACAATTTTGTGGACGTCATAAAAATAGTTGGTCCGTACGCTTTTCTTGTAACTTTACGTTTTGTAATAGTTTAACTATAGGTACACTTTGACCGTATTGTAGCGGTATAATGATTATAATATCTAAGTATCCTATATCCCGTGAATAAAAAATGTATATTGTTTTTAAATTTTACGTTATAAATAGGTAAGACGTGGTACCTACCCAGACCTACTTCTAGGTCAGAGATTCCTAAAGTGGGTTCCGTGGGAAAGTCACCTGGGTTCTGCGAAATTATTTATGTTTTGCTTTAAGCAATTTCACACTTTGTTACTAATATTATTTTTAAATAAATATACATACGTCATACATAAACACTCACGCCTGTCACCCAGAGAGGTAGACAGAGACTGTGGACTTCCATTTGGCACGATCCTGACACACCTTTCTCGCTTCCTCCACATCCATATACCTAAGCATAAATGCTCATCGGTTAAG